ACGGATCCACTGTACCCACCATTGTACGGATCCATCGTACCCACCATTGTACGGATCCATTGTACCCACCCATTGCTGCCCACTGCTGCCCGGAGGACGAGTGCCTGGGTGGGGCGGCCATCAGGACAGTGCACCGAAGGGGCTCTCAGCAGAGCGTGGGGTGCTGCCACGGGCTGAGGAAATCACTGACCGGCAAAGTGCAGCTCTTCCAGTGGCTCTGGGACTCTGCGTGCCTAGAGCCCTTGGCCCTTAACATCACAGCTCTAGAGCTCGAAGCCGACCCTAGCAGCTCCTCAGGAGCCAAGGCTAACTCTGGGTGCTGTCAGGGTCTCTCAGCAGCTTTGCCCAGTGTCGGGGGATCCCAGCAAATGCCGCTGACTCCTGCCAGCTGCTGCCGTTGCTGGGTGCCACCTGCTGATGCTGGCAGGCGCTGCTCATCCCGGGTCCCCAAGGCGGGGCTCTGCTGCTGATTGGCGTCAGTCACCGCTGACCGCAAGGTTAACCACACACACCTCCTCTTACTGCCTCTGCCACATGCTGCTGGCCTCAAATTGATTTTTTTTTGAGGCAGGGCCTCACTATATAGTGTAGGCTGGCCTTGAACTTGCTTATGTCGCCCAAGCTGGCCCCGAATTTACATCTTTCCTCCTGTCTCAGCCTCCTGAGTGCTGGAATTACAGGTGTACGCCACCAGGCCTGCCTCTACAGCTCTTTTTAAAACCTGCTCTTCCCATACTACTTTCCCTAAGAATTCAGAGTTGATTTACAAAGCCTTTCAAGCTGCACTACCAGCCGGGCGTGGTGGCGCATGCCTGTAATCCCAGCACTCGGGAGGCTGAGGCAGGAGGGTCATTGCAAGTTCAAGACCAACCTGGCTACAAAGAGAGCTCAGGGCCAGCCTGAACTATATAGTGAGACCCTGTCTCAAAAAAGACAAAACAAAACAAAATAAAACAAAACAAAACCAGGAGCATCTCAAGCTGCACTACCAGAGAAATAAGTTGGAGCACTTATAGAACTGGGGAGCTTTATGAGACAAGGGCTGTCCTGCAGCACAACGGCTACCAGGGCTGAAAAGGAAGCCTACATCGGAGGAACAAATGTGAGGAAGGCGGCATATATAGCAGCAGCAGGCGTGTGATTGGTCCAAATCCGAGCCTGCTGATTGGTCCAAATTCGAGCCTACTGATTCACGCCTCCTGATTGGTCCAAATTCAATCCTGCTGTTTGGCTCAAATGCAAGCTAGCGCGGTAAGGGCAGATATCTATAGTGGGTGCGAGGTGCCCGGGACAGTCACAGCGGTACTGGCGACAGTTGGGGGAACATGGGGCGAAGCAAGTGCTTGCCTGACCGCTGCCGAGTCTCCTCGAAAGTGGCGGGACCATAACCAGGGCTGTCCCGCTCTCCAGGGATACTCAGGAGGCCTAACGGTGCTCACCACGGCCGCCGGGGCCTGGGGATTTCGGGATGGCGACAGTGGGCCCAGGTCCCCCGCCCCTGCGTGTCAGGGGCGGCTTCGGAGGGGGCAGCAGCGCCTGGACGGTGGGCACGGGCAGGGGCGTCGCGGCCAGCGGGGCCACCACTCTTGTAGTGCGGCCTGCAAGTGGCTTCTCGGTACCCCCGGGTGGCGGGAGGGCGGCGCTGCCCCAGTCCGTCGCAGGGACGGCCGAGGGAAGGGCGGCGGCTGTCAGGGTGAAAGCGGGACTCAGGCTCTTGCTCGCCTCGGCGGGGAGGAGCAGAGAGCTGGGCCGGTGGCTGCCGAGGGCCTCTCCCTCGGGGGCTGGCCGAGGGTCTGTGCTGGGGGTGCGCTTGCGCTGCAGTGCGGGGCAGCTGGGGGGCCGAGGACCCACCGGAGGAGCGCTGAGGGGCTGTTTTCATGCTGTCAGTTTGCAAGGAAAGATAGGAGCACAGGGGGGTTTTAGGAGAGTGAGGGGCGGTGCGCTGGCGATGCCTGTAATCCGGGCCCCAGAGGCTGAGGAAGGCGGATCGCAGACAGTTTGAGGCCAACCTGGGCGACATAATGCAGTGAGACCCTGTCTCAAAAAAAGGAAAGTGAGGCTTTCCTCACTGTCTTGGGCGACTTGCTCTGAGGATGGGCGTGGGCCTAATGCATTTTCCAGGCCTCGTCCTGCTTGTGGGTCACAGGCAGAGGCTCTGCAGTCAGTTTAAGTCAGCCGCAGGAGGTGGGAACCCAGGGCGGCACGGCCGAGGCGCGGACTCTCTCCAGAGGCGGGCAGCGGGCCAAGGGGCTGCGGCATCGCCCGGCCAGCACCCGCGTTTGGAGGCGGCGTGGGCACTCCGCGAGGGAGGGCAGGG